TTAAGGCAAACATCTTTTTCCCACTGGTAGCAGAGGGAAAGTCAGAGATTGTAAGCATGAGAAGGGTTCTATATGCTATTGTTGATTTGGAGATGAAGGTACCACATATCAAGGAAACAATTCCACAATTCCACAAAGAACAGGATTCTGCCAATAAACTGATTGCTCTGGAAGCAGACTTCTCTTCTGCCTTCCAGACAAGAACCAGCCTATCCCAAACCTTGATTTCAGCTCGTGAGGCCTTGGGCAGTGAACCCAGTTGAGCCATGGAATTGTCAGATAAGAAAAGGGTTTTGTTTTACCTCATTAAGTTTGTGACCATTTATTATGTTAACAGTAGAAAACCAATGCAATATATGTGATACTTTTTTATATGACCCCTGTAAGAATTTACAAAAGAAAAAAATTATTCATTCTGAATAGCACATGACTTTGGAATTTATTTTGCCAGGTAACTAGATGTTCGGTGAGAAGCAAAGGGGTAAAGGGGAGAATTATTTGTTAATAATGTTACTAACACTGTTTCAAAATCAAACTCTTTCCCATATAAGTAATTGTTTCAGGGTACTTGGATAGCCTTAGTTTATTTTTATTTATTTATTTTTTTAGTGTTACTAACTACATTTATTTAAAAAAAATTAATATCAGTTTTTTTACATGGTTGTTCATTTTTGTACAGTATTTGATTTCTCCCTTCAGGTGTAGGCCCTGTAGTTGTCCCACCATCAAAGCTCCCGTGATCCATCACCATAGACTGACTACATTTAATAAAGACTCACATCTGATATTTGGGGCCTCCCAAATGCTGCTCCCGGTGGCGCAGCATTTGAGCGCTGGGTTGCGAAGCTGCCCGCAGCCTCTGCAGCACCGGTTCAATCCCCGGCTGCTCCCTGGCCACTGGAGGAGGGTCCCACATGGCGCACAGACCTCTCCTGCCGCCCGCTGCTCCCCTCAGCAGTGTACTTAGGTCCTTCTGCCTGCTCTGCTCCCTGCTCTGGCTCTGGTGAATTCTCTCACCCTCCCATGCTTCTGACTGTAACCAGTGCTTGTATAAATAAATAAATAAATCTAAAAAAAAAAAAAAAGACTCACATCTGATATTTAAATATAGCTATTATCCAATAAAGTGATACTGGGACAGAGCCCATATCCAGTCACCTCCATCACAAATTTTAGAGCTTATATCACAACGTTTAAGTAATTCTGACTTTATCCAAATGTGCCTCATAAAATTGGTTTATGTTCATTGTTGGTGTTCACATGGCACCAGTTGAGTGCTCAGGTCCCTGGTGAAAAGTTTTGGTTACTGGGGCCAGGAAGAGTCTACTACTGCTGTTTCTTATTTTCTTTACTTTGATTAAGAATGATTTATCAAAAAAAAATGAAAATGTACAATTTAAATAATTAATTAATTGCATGTAAAGAAACACAGTTGTAAAGTAACAATAAAAAGAAAAAGGTAAAAGGTGATATTTCTTGCATATCAGAGTTTATGGTTATAAATGTATTACCTTTCACATAGGCATCGATAGCCTTAGTTTAAATCCAGAAGCATATGCGGTTACTATTTGTAGTTTAATGGGAAAATCCAATCTTTTATGATACAATAAAATTAGATTATCTTGTCTTTACATCTGAACACTGACTGGCATATATCAATAATTACAGTAAAACACTTACTCTGGAAATAATTGAGTTCATAACAAAAAGCTGTAATAAAACTTAGTAGATTTAATGTTTTGGTTTGTCCATACCAAATGAACACATTCTTTGCTATAGGTAACAGACTTTCATGGTTAGAAATGACTAGTTCTTAGAAAAAGAACAATAAAAAACCCCAAAACCAGTATAAGAAAAGAAATAATAAAAAACAAAGCAGAAATAAATGAAATTAAAACAAACAAAAAAAACAACCCAAAAGATCAATGAAACCAAGAGCTTGTTCTTCAAAAAAATAAATAAAATAGACAAACCCCTAGCCAGGCTCACAAAGGAAAAAAGGGAGAAAGCACAAATAAACAGGATCACAAATGGAAGAGGAGAAATCACAATGGACACAGCAGAAATCAAAAGAATAATCAGAAACTACTATGAACAATTACATGGAATCAAGTTCAACAATTTAGAGGAGATAGACAAATTCCTACAAATCTACAGTCACCCAAAGCTAGATAAAGAAGAAATAGAACACCTAAACAGACCAATTACAAGCAGCGAAATTGAAATGGTAATCAAAAACCTTCCCAAAAACAAAAACACAGGACCTGATGGATTTACAAATGAATTCTACCAAACATTCAGAAACGAATTAGTACCAATCCTTCACAAACTCTTCCAAAAAATTGAGAAGGATGGGATAATACCAAACACGTTCTATGAAGCCATCATTACACCAATACCAAAACCGAACAAGGACAACACAAAAAACATTGATGCAAATATCCTCAAAAATTTTAGCTATCAGAATCCAACAATGTATCCATAAGACAATTCACCACAACCAAGTAGGATTCATTCCAGGGAAACAAGGATGGCTCAACATCCGAAAATCAATCAACGTTATCCAACACATCAACAAAAAGAAATATAAAAACCATATGATAATATCAACAGATGCCAAGACAGATTTCGACCAAGTACAACACCCATTCATGACAAAAGCCCTTGAAATTCTTGGGATACAAGGAACATAACTCAACATCATAAAGGCCATATATGACAAGCCAACAGCCAATAACATTCTCAATGGTGAAAAGCTGAAAGCAGTTCCATTAAGATCTGGAAAAAGGCAAGAATGTCCACTCTCACCTCTGCTATTCAATATAATTATGAAAGTCCTAGCCAGAGCAATAAGACAAGAGAAAGACATAAGGAATCCAAATAGGAAAATAAGAAGTCAAACTATCACTATTTGCAGATGATATGATAATACACATAAAGAACCCCAAAAACTCCACAGAAAAACTAATTCAACTCATCAATCAGTTCAGTAAAGTGGCAGGATACAAAATCAACACGCAAAAGTCAGTAGCCTTCCTATACACAAACAATAAATCTTGAGAAGTAGAAATTAAAAAAAAATCCCTTTTATTATCGAAACAAAAAAATCAAATACTTGGGAATAAATCTAACAAAAGAGGTAAAGGACCTATACAAAGAAACTCGAAAACACTGTTAAAAGAAATAGAAGAATACACAAAGAAATGGAAAGACATGCCTTGCTCATGGATTGGAAGAATATACATTATTAAAATGGCCATCCTACCAAAAGCAATATACAGATTCAATGCTATTCCAATCAAAATTTCAATGTCATTCTTCAAAGAAATAGAACAATTATTGGTGAAATTCATACGGAATCACCAAAACCCCCGAATAGCCAAAGCTCTCCTGAAAAAAAAAAGAAGGGAATGGAGGCATCACACTCCCAGACTTCAAACTATACTACAAAGCCATAATCATCAAAACAGCATGGTATTGGAACAAGAACAGACACACAGACCAATGGAATTGAATATAAAATCCAGAAATAAACCCACAGATTTATGGTCAACTAATCTTTGACAAAGGAGCAAAAAATATGCATTGGAGCAAAGAAAGTTTGTTCAATAAGTGGTGCTGGGAAAACTGGGTCGCTACATGCAAAAGAATGAAGCTTGACCACTACCTCACACCATGCACAAAAACCAACTCAAAATGGATTAAAGAACTAGACATAAGACCTGAAACCATAAAATACATAGAAGGAAATATAGGCGAAACACTCCATGATGTGCACATCAAAGACATCTTTACAGACACATTACCCAAAGCAGTGATAGTGAAGGCAAAGATCAACAGCTGGGACTACATCAAATTAAAGAGCTTCTGCACAGCAAAAGAGACAATAACCAAAACAAAGAGAAACCCCACAAACTGGGAGAACATTTTTGCGCACAATACTAATGATAAAGGACTGATTGCAAAAATCTACAAAGAGCTGATGAGACTCAACAAAAACAAAGAAAATAATCCAGTCAAAAAATGGGCAGAAAAAGAAACTTCTCCAAAGAAGAAATGCATATGGCCAACAGGCATATGAAAAAATGTTCAACATCACTTGTCATCAGGGAAATGCAAATCAAAACTACAATGAGATACCATCTTATACCAGTGAGAATGGCACATATTAAAAAAACTAGCAACAACAAATTTTGGCGGGGTTGTGGAGAAAAAGGAACTCTCCTGCACTGCTGGTGGGAGTACAAACTGGTCCAACCACTATGGAGAGCTGTGTGGAGATTTCTTGACCTACTATACATAGAGCTTTCATATGATCCAGCAATTCTACTCCTAGGTATTTACCCAAAGGACACAGAAACATCAATTCCAAAGAGTACCTGCACCCCTATGTTTATAGCAGAACTGTTTACAAATAGCTAAGCTTTGGAAACAACCCAAATGCCCAAAAATAGATGACTGGATCAAGAAGATATGGTGCATATACACCATGGAATATTACTCAGCATTCAAAAAATATAAACACATGCAATTTGCAGAAACATGGATGGAGCTGGAAGGGATCATGCTCAGCAAAATAAGCCAGAAAGAAAAAGAAAAATACCGGATGGTCTCACTCATAGCAGCAATCTAGAAAACTTAAATAAGGGACCAGGCAAAAGAATAACTATAAGAAAGAAAACATCAAAATCAACCAACAATTATGAACCAGAGACACTCTATGGGGGGTGGGAGGGCAGGGAAAGGAGGGATTGGGTTCAAAATAAGGGGGTTGCAATTGTATGGGGTATATAAAAATAAAATTTAAATTAAAAAAATTCTAAAAAAAATAAAATAAAATATTTCAAACAAGTAAAAAAAAAATGACTAGTTCTAAGGAAATTAGTAAGGGACATGTGGGAGTGGGTATAGATAAGTGAGTTTAAAATGAGTGTGAATTTTCAATTTTAAAAATTAAATCACCAATGTAAGAGTTTTTTCCCTTTTCATTTGTGTTGTAGATTAATCTTAAGGATATTGGTGAAATCTATAAAATACGTATTGGACATGACAACAGTGGAAATGATCCCAAGTGGTATCTGGAAGAAATTACACTTGAAAATATAGACACTCATGAGCTGTTTTGTTTAACTGTTGACTCCTGGATACCTGAAAATGAAAATGAAGGCAATATCTGGAAAGAAATGCCCATTGTGAGAATTAACAAAGCACCTTTGCCAGGTACAAAATATGACTTCTTTTGTTATATTAAAAATCAAAATTAATTGATTTAGAATGGAAGTCTGCAAAATTTTTCTGTAAAGGATCAGACATTAATATCTTATGCATGGTGGGCCATATAGTCTCTTGAAAAGATAGAAAGACCCTAAGAAATTTAGAATCCTTGTTTTTACCCTACATATACTAGGACCTATCTTTTAATCACCCAGTTACTAACAGCCTTCAAAGATCATTCTGCTTTTTAAAATAATGTATAGAAGAATTTTGATATCTAAGGTACAAGTTAGAAACAGAAAAAAAATCTTAGTTATTTATCTATAGTATTTTTAATAGTTACATTATTTAAAAGTGAACTTTATTTAAACTATTAGATAATTATTTTGTATTCCTTCCAGTTACCTCCCTGCACAATTTATTATATGCAAAAAAATGTGGAAGGCAGTTGTATGGTTTATTAAAAAAATCACGATGTAATAGAAACTCCATTGTACTTTAAATGAACTATTGATTTTGGGTTCATTTAACTTGAGCAGCAATAAAGGCTCAGCATGTCTCCACTGCATTTTCCTGTTCATCCTTTTCCCAAACTAGCTAATGAAACTTTATCCATTAGCATTTCCCATTTAAAGGAGTAATTTCTTAGCTGAAACACACCAACCATTTCTTATGGCATTTTCTTCTACAGAATAATGTAATGTAATACATGATACCTACAGCTATCCTGGTCCAGTCTTCTCACTTTTCAGTGGTTCTGACAAGTATATCCAGCTGCCCCTTCCCAGGCTGATTATTTGCTCATTTTTGGTGAAAAGCATTATAATAAAAACGGGAAAAAATAATGATACCTAATGTTAAGGAATTAAGTACAGATCAAAACCTATTTGTGAGCAAGGTGTAGTCTGGACCTGCTGAATATCACTTTTGGAAAGTCATTCTTGTTGCTACCAAGAGCTTGATATACTGTAGGGGCGGGAAGACACTGAGCAGGTTTTCTGATCTAGCAGACTGGGTAAGGAGAAGAGTCCTGGAGTCCTCAGTGGCTTTTGCAGGCTTTTGTTGGGATTTACCAGGTACACAGCAGGCAGGGGTGCTGGGGGGCAGGAGGCTGGCAGGCCTCGCAGCCCCCAGCAAGTCTTCACTCCCTCTGGCTCTCTGGTGTTCTCTGGTGGTCTCTGGTTCTTTTTGGTGTCCCCGTGATGCTGCCCTTAAAAGCCCAGACTTAGCCCAGGTGAATCCCATCTATGTATGCCCACACCCTATTCCAGGTGCCCGCCATCAGGCATCCATTCGGGACCACAGGGTTCCGTCATCTATCCTGATGGTGGGAGGGCAGAAAAGCCTGATACTTTTGTAATTTCAAGTCACAACAGAGTCTAATCACTGAATTGTTGCTTCTCTGCTTTTTGGGGCCTTGAAAGAGAAATAAGGAGTTGACCTTGAAAATTTGGGGATTATCAGTCCATCTGTCAGGACATTCTGAAGTTATTTGAGGGGAGAACACAGAGTGATGTACGGGAACCTTTGAATAATTCCAAAAAAAAAAAAACAATGATGCTTGTAGAGTAAGTGATTGTCAGGCTTTTCTGCCCTCCCACCATTAGCCTTAATGATGGATCCCCGGGGTCCTACATCTGGGATGAGACTGGGCTTATAAGGGCAGGGTCATGGGAGCAAGAGTAGCGGAAGGAAGAACAAGTGGTGGAAGAGTGGAGCCGGGAGAAGAGAGCTGATCAGCAGAGAAGCTGACCAGCAGAAGAAGACCACGAGAGACCATCGGAGAGCCCAGGAGGAGTGAAGACTAGGGGGCTAGGAGGCTTGCCAGCTGTGAACCTGGTAAAATCCCAATAAAAAGCCTGAAAAAGCCACCGAGGGCCCCAGGACTCTCCTTCACCCATCTGTTCTGGTCATAGAGACCCTGCTCTGTGCCTTCCTGGCTGCTACAATACTTTAGTGTCATGGAGACATATTTGAGGGTTATAAGTTGTTTTTAACTTCATAGCACATAAAGTGTGTGTTTCCTTGCTGTTGGCACATATACTCAGAACTAATTAATTTTGTGATTATATTCTTTTCAAAAATATTTCTGCAGTGTTTTAAAGGGAAAGTTTGTGACTATTGGTCTATAAATTATTTATCTTCTCTGATTGATATAAATTACCATTGGGGTCACAGAGATCTCTTAGAGACTAGCACCCAAGCTGAGCTTGTCCTCTCCTTCCCCCCTCCCCCCCTTTATTTTTTCAGTCTGCCATATTCATTGGAAAAGGTACTAGAGCAACTGACTACCCTGCCCTTTGTTGTTTATCCTTAAGGGTCTTTAGTGGTGATTTTACATTCTTTGGGTAGATACTACAGGTGGAATTGCTGGGTCATATGATGGACCATATTTTGAGAAACCATATTTTCATATATGTATATATATATATTTTTTGTGGGACCCTCGCTGGCAGCCAGGGAGTGAACCAGCACTGCAGGGCTGCAGGCAGCCTCGCAGCCCAGCGCTCAACCGCTGCGCCACCGGGGGAGGCCCCATATTTTAATATTTTGAGAAACCACCAGACTGTTTTCCATGGACCAGTGTCTATTCCCACCAACAGTATAAGAACCTTCGTTTTTCTCCACATCCCCTCAAGCACTTGTTGTTTCTGGTCCTTTTGCTGTGGGCTTTTCTCACAGATGTGAGATGTTATCTCAGTGGGGTTTTGATTTGCATTTCCCTGATGATAAGTGATGATGCACATCTTTTTATATGCCCGTGGACCATCTGTATGTCTTCTTTGTACAAAAATAAAAAAAAAAAAAGAATACATAGTTGCTTGCCTAGTGGGGATGTTCCCAGGCTGATAAGAATGCTAACTCAGTTCACCTGTGGCACTGTCTCTTCAGGTGAGATAGATGACAACAGGAGGTGAGGTTTGGGGCCACAACAATGAAAATTGTTTCCTGCCAGGTTTTGGCAAGTACACAGGAAGTATAGTTAGTAGTTTACTTCAAATCAAGAAATAACTACCTGTGAATATATGAAAGGCCCATAATAGAAATGTGTCAGCTTCAAAATATTGATATTTATGAGACTTTATGAGAAAATAACTATCTTTCTACAACAACTACTTGCCACCTACAGCAAGTTTTGGATGGTAACAACTGGGCTAAACAAGTTTTTAAAGAAAAAAAAAAAACTTTAATGTTTTAACCTCACCACAATACCCATCTCAAGGGGGTTATGTGGGGCTTCATGGGGACATAGGCTCTGATGAGATGACTGAAGCTCAGAGAAGCAGTCTGACTTCAAATCCTGGTCTTATCCGCTGGCTTTGTGAATTGGGCAAGTTACATAGGTTTTCTGAGTCTGTTGCGTTCTCTATAAAATGGGCATAGAACACCTGTGACTAGAGTGACCACCAGCTGAACTAAAATATTCTTGAGAAAGAAGGAAAACACTCTCAATAATTTCCTAGGACAATAGGTATTGATAGAGATCATTCCAGGCAAACCAGAAATGTGGTGGTCCCATGGGGTTTTTATCAGGAATATGTGGAGTGTGTGACTATAATATTTGTCACATAGGAGACTCTCATCACACACTAAATTAATTCCTCTGTCCTCTCTTTTGACCCAGATTTCCCTCCTGATTCCTTCATAGAAAACAAAGAAAGGAAGACTAGGATGGCAATTTTCCATCAAATAGCTTTTTAAAATAATGAGATTGTTTCACTCCTTTGCCAAAAATCCTCCCAAAGTTTCTCAAGTTACTAGGAGTAAAAACTAAATTCATCACAACATCCTATAAGGCCTGCTCATCATTCACCCCCACTCCAGTCCCTATGTTCCCTGATGTCCATGGCACTAGGCAGGTCTGTCCTCAGTCTTCGGCCTCCACCCTCTCTCAGGACACTGTGAGGCCAGTTCCCTCACCTTGGATCAGATCTCTGGTTCAAGAGCACCTCTCACTGATGCCTTCTGGGATGAAATTCTACTTCTTTTCCTATCCAGACACTTCTTTCTACAGCTCAGAGATGTGTTTTTCTTTTTCTTTTTTCAGCAATAATATAAATATTTTCAACCAAGAAACACATGGAAATTCAGCCCCAAACTGCCAATATATATGATTTTGGTCCACAAACCTCAGTGCACAATGAGGTGTGTATACATGTTTAACACTGAATCCCAATTACCATCTGTTTCCAAGATTTGACTTTGGGCCATTTGTATCAATATGATCACACCACAATGAATGCTGAGAAAGCTTCATTCTTGGTGACCTGAGAAAAAGAACTAAAACAGTCCATTAATTAAGTCAAATTAAAAATTTAGCCAAAGGGGATTGTCTTAGGAAGTTTATCTGTGTTGCCCATGGAGCTCCCCAGGTACTAACAACAATGCTGTACTGAACTGTGCTGGCAAACACAATGCTCACCTGCATCCATGTGCCCAGGTGCAAAGAGGGCAGGCTCACATGGGGCAGGCTAGGTGAGGACTGGGCATTCATTAGTACCTAGAAACATGAGTTTCTGTGAGTCTCTGGTCTAAAATAAAACATGACACTAGGAGAGCTACAAACATAAGCAATTGCATTTTTTTTTTTCTGGTTAGGAAAGCATTTGGGAAACAACAGCCTACATTCAATCAAAATATTCTGTGTACCTGTAGACCATGAAATAAACAAGGAAATAAGAACAAGTTTGGGAACAAAAGTAACCTGGGAGGGCAGCTTTGGTTTTAAGCACAGTTTTGGGTACAGAGCTGCCATTGCACATTTTATTTTTTTATTGTGATTTTCTTTAAATTTTAAAGATCTAATAAGTTTTATTATATGATTTATTGATCAGACAGTCTCTCATCTACCAACCAGAAATGGACTGCAAAGGTTATACAAAATGGAAATGTTTTATAGTCAAAAAAAGAGGATGGGGTAAGAGAAGAAAGATTATTTCAGGGAAAGACATCTTCTCTGAGAGAGGCAGGGAAGTTCTTACACTAATGACCTCTTACGCTAATGA